CCTTGAGCAGCTTGCTCGGCCGGTTGCAGTCTCCCTCGCTGACCCCTCTGGGGGTCCGGTCATTGCGACCTCCTCTACTGTTCTCCCTTGTCCTGCGGTCCCGTCGGGCACTCTGTCAGGTCTCTACCTCCCCTCGTTCTCTACGAACTTGGTGGCGGGTAGTGCGCTCCAGGACGGGGGTGTCCACCAGTTTACCCCTGCCTACGAGCGTGTGACACACTGCACGTGCGCTCGGACGGGCCGCCACCTGGCTACCTTCACTCGGCAGCCGGGGTCGGGCCTGTACACACTGACCACTGAGTCCCCACAGGTAGCTGCGTCTGCGTCTGCGTCGGGTCAGCTGTCTGCCCCCTGCTCGTGTCGCTCTCTGGCACACGAGACTGTCCTCTGGCACCACCGTCTTGGTCACCCGTCAGTGCAGCGCCTTCGTGCCATGCACAACCGGTACCTTGTCTCTGGTCTTCCCAGGGTTCTCCCTCCACTCCCACCCTCGCCTGCTCCTCCCTGCCTTCCCTGTGTCGAGGGGCGGCAGCGCGCCGCTCCTCACTCCTCCTCGTTTCCCCCGACGACTGCTCCCTTGCAGACGCTCCACATGGACGTGTGGGGCCCAGCCCGCGTCCGTGGACAGGGTCAGGAGAGGTACTTCCTGATCGTTGTTGACGACTACTCGCGCTACACCACGGTCTTCCCCTTGCGCACCAAGGGTGAGGTCCCTGATGTTTTGATCCCTTGGATCCGCGCTGCTCGTCTCCAGCTCAGTGAGCGGTTCCACTCGGACTTTCCTGTCCTGCGTCTGCACTCTGACAGAGGTGGTGAGTTCTCCTCTGACCTCTTGGCAGCCTACTGTGCGGAGCACGGCATCCGCCAGTCGTTCACGCTTCCGGCCTCTCCACAGCAGAATGGGGTTGCTGAGCGCCGCATTGGTTTGGTCATGGAGGTCGCTCGTACCTCCTTGATCCATGCGGCTGCCCCCCACTTTCTGTGGCCGTTTGCGGTCCGATACGCTGCGCATCAGCTCAACCTCTGGCCCCGTGTCTCCGTTCCGGAGACTTCGCCGACACTGCGTTGGACGGGAGAGGTTGGCGATGCGTCGCGTTTTCGGGTCTGGGGGTCCCGAGCTTTTGTTCGCGATACGTTCGCGGACAAGCTCTCCTCCCGCGCTGTTCCCTGTGTCTTCCTTGGCTTTGTCCCGGACGCGTCTGGTTGGCAGTTTTACCACGCCACCTCGCGCCGTGTCCTGCCCTCTCAGGACGTCACTTTTGACGAGTCCGTGCCCTACTACCGCCTCTTCCCCTACCGCACTGCCCCGCTCCCCCCCCCGCCTCTCTTCCTCGCGCCAGGTGCTGCTGTGGTAGACCCCCTCCCCCCTCAGGGTGCCGCTCCCTCAGGTGTGTCCCAGGTAGACCCGGTTGAGCCTGTCGAGGTAGCTGTCGACTCTCGTCCTGCCAGGGGTGCTGAGCCTGAGCGTGCGGAGCCTGGGGTTGCGGAGTCTGGGGGTGCTGAGCCTGGGGGTGCGGGGTCTGGGGGTGCGGAGCCTGCGGGTGCTGAGTCTGGGGGTGCTGAGCCTGGGGGTGCGGAGCCTGCGGGTGCTGAGTCTGGAGGTGCTGAGCCTGGGGGTGCTGAGCCTGGGAGTGCTACGTCTGAGAGTACTGAGCCTGAGCGTGCTGCACCTGGGGGAGGCCTCTCCTCGCAGCAGCTGCGTGAGTGGTACTTACAGTACTGCAGCCTCAGGAGAGGTGCTTCTGGAGCTCGGAGTGGTGCCGGAGCTGGTGCTAGTGCTTCCCCTCCTAGGCGGGAGCTGCCCTCTCCCCAGCAGCTCCGAGAGTGGTACGCTAGGCGCTGCAGTCTCCGGAGTGGCGCTCCCGGTGTCGTGGACTCTGGAGCTTCTGGAGTTACTGGAGGTGCTGCTGCTGCTGGCGGTGCGGCTGGCGCTGCTGGAGGTGCTGCTGGTGCTGCTGGAGCTGCTGGAGGTACTGCTGCTGCTGGAGGTGCTGCTGGCGCTGCTGGAGGTACTACTGGTTCTGGTGCTGCTGGAGCTGCTGGAGGTGTTGCTGCTGCTGGCGGTGCGGCTGGCGCTGCTGGAGGTGCTGCTGGTGCTGCTGGCGCTGCTGGAGGTGCTACTGGTGCTGGAGCTACTGGAGCTGCTGGTGGTACTGCTGCTGCTGGCGGTGCTGCTGGCGCTGCTGGAGGTGCTGCTGGTACTGGTGCTGCTGGAGCTGCTGGAGGTGCTGCTGCTGCTGGTGGTGCTGCTGGCACTGCTGGAGGTGCTGCTGGTACTGGAGCTGCTGGGGACCCTGCTGCTGCTGGCGGTGCTGCTGGAGCTGCTGGGACTGGCCCTGCTGAGGGGGTTGGAGCTGGAGGTGCTGAGCGGCCACGGCCGTACTACGTTCCGCTCCTTCAGCAGGTTCTTGGCCTTCCGCCCTCTCCTGGTCCTACTCCTCCCCTACTGAGTCCACCGCTTGTCCAGTCGCAGTCAGAGTTTCAGCCAGTCTCTCCACTTCCTGGTCCTTCTCCCTACACTGCGCCGACGGGAGGTCTTACGGAGCGTCGTGAGCCTGAGTCTCGTCCTCCGTCGCCTGAGACGCGTCCAGAGTCGCCTGTCCGCGCTGTCCGCGCTGGTCGTCGTGTTCCACGTCAGCGTCCTCCTCCTGTCCTTGGCACTCACTATATGACCCTGCGTCCCTCTACTGCTCCACAGCGTGTCCCACTGCCGTCTCCACCAGCGTCCTCTCTTCCTGCTCTTGCTGACCCGAAGTCTGACTCTCTTCGTGCTGCCAGTCCTACCGTCACGCGTCTCCTTGCCACTGCTGTCACTGACCCTTCCTTTGAGTCCTCTGCTGCGTCTGCTCTAGTCGCTGAGCTTGTTGACTTTGCTGCTGCCTGTCGTCTAGACTACGCCGCTAGCCTTGTTGCTGAGTCTGAGTCTGAGTCTGTCTGTCCTCCGTCTGTCGGGGGTGAGTGTGCTCTTGGCACGGACGTCCTTGAGGACAGACAGGAGGAGTTTGAGTGCTTTGCCGCTTCTTTGCCTCATCTCGTGTCCATGCTAGTTGCCCCTGAGGGAGACCCGGATGCACCAGACATCCCGACCCCACGCTCCTACGCAGAGGCGATGGAGGGTCCCTACTCCTCTCAGTGGCAGACAGCCATGGACGCAGAGATGGCTTCCTGGAAGTCCACAGGCACCTACGTCGACGAGGTTCCCCCACCTGGGGCGAACATCGTCAGTGGCATGTGGATTTTCAGGGTGAAGCGGCCGCCGGGTTCTCCGCCTGTCTTCAAGGCGCGTTACGTTGCACGAGGCTTCAGTCAGCGAGAGGGAGTTGACTTCTTCCAGACCTTCTCCCCGACCCCGAAGATGACCACTCTTTGGGTTCTGCTGCACATCGCTGCTCAGCGTGACTACGAGCTCCACTCTCTTGACTTCAGCACTGCGTTCTTACAGGGCAGCCTGCACGAGGAGATTTGGCTGCGCCGCCCACCTGGCTTCACTGGGTCGTTCCCTCCTGGTACCCAATGGAGCCTCCGGCGGCCAGTCTACGGTCTCCGCCAGGCACCCCATGAGTGGCACGACACACTGAGGACTACTCTTGCTGCTCTTGGGTTTGCTCCTTCTACTGCTGACCCGTCGCTGTTTCTACGCACCGACACCACTCTGCCGCCGTTCTACGTTCTTGTTTACGTAGACGACTTGGTCTTTGCTACTGCTGACACTGAGGCACTCGCCCACGTGAAGTCGGAGCTGCAGAAGAGACACACGTGCACAGACCTGGGTGAGCTGACAAGCTATCTTGGCTTGCGGATCACCCGGGACAGAGCACAGCGCACCATCACCTTGACTCAGTCACACATGGTGCAGCAGGTCCTTCAGCGCTTCCGCTTCACGTACTCCTCGCCTCAGCCCACTCCTCTGCCTACCGGTCACTCGCTCTCAGCTCTGCCTTCGGATGAGTCCGTAGAGCCAAGTGGCCCGTATCAAGAGCTTGTGGGCTGCCTCATGTACCTGATGACCTGCACTCGACCTGACCTGGCATACCCTCTTAGCATCCTAGCACGCTATGTCGCTCCCGGCCGTCACCGGAAGGAGCACATGGATGCCGCTAAGAGGGTGTTGCGCTACTTGTGCAGTACGTCGGGCATGGGGCTCGTGCTTGGAGGTCGGAGCGACGTTGTCCTCACGGGTCACTCAGACGCTTCTTGGGCTGACGACCAGGCTACGCAGCGGTCGTCTCAGGGTTACACCTTCAGCCTTGGCTCTGGTTCAGTTTCTTGGCGTTCTACTCGCTCTTCTTCTGTTCTCAGCTCCAGTTGTGAGGCTGAGATCTACGCCACAGCCATGGCTGCACAGGAGTTACGCTGGCTCACCTACCTGCTGACCGACCTGGGAGAGCGGCCTCGTTCTCCTCCAGTGCTGTACGTTGACAACAAGGCCGCCATTGCCTTGTGTGAGGAGCACAGACTGGAGCACAGGACGAAGCACATCGCTCTGCGCTACTTCCTTGCTCGAGAGCTGCAGCAGCGTGGTCAGCTTCGTCTGCGTTACGTGGCCACTCGGGCCAACACTGCTGATGTGTTCACCAAGGCGCTTCAGCCTTGTGACCATCAGCGTTTCTGTACTGTTCTAGGCCTTGTGCCTACTCTCCCTCACTTGCTCACTTCTTGACTCTGCTTGTACTGTGATCTCTATATATATATACCTGCATGTTTACTCTTGTTAGGTTGTGATCACTGTACCTCTTGTTATATTATCAAACTGCATGTGAACTGGTCTTGTGACCACTTGCTTGTGCTCGGAATTTGTGTGGTTTCCTTGAGATCCACCCTGAGCTTGCTTTGCTTTGCTTTGACTGGTCTTGTGACCATCTGGTTGTCTCCCACTTAGCCTATGGGGGTGTGTCAAACATTATACATGTTCATATTGTGTAGGCTATAGTGGGTTTAGCCTTAGGGGGTACAACATTCTACATTCTAACAGATCTCCCCGGACGCCCCGGAGCATCGCGATGCTCTCCCCGGACGCCCCGGAGCGTCGCGATGCTCACTTTGGCCGCCCCAGAGCAACGCGATGCTGTCCCCGGACGCCCCAGACCGTCGCGATGCTCTCCCCGGACGCCCCGGAGCGTTGCGATGCTCTCCCCAGCCGTCCCGGAGCGTCGCGATGCTCTCTTTGGCCGCCCCAGAGCGTCGCGATGCTCTCCCCGGACGCCCCAGAGCGTCACGATGCTCTCCCCAGCCGCACCGGAGCGTCGCGATGGTCTCCCCGGCCGCCTCAGCGCGTGGCGATGCTCTCCCCGGACACCCCGGAGCATCGCGATGCTCTCCTCGGACGCACCAGAGCGTCGCGATGCTCTCTCCGGACGCCCCAGAGCGTCGCAATGCTCTCCCCGGCCGCCCCGGAGCGTCGCGATGCTCTCCCCAGCCGCTTCGGAGCGTCGCGATGCTCTCCCCGGACGCCCCGGAGCGTCGCGATGCTCTCACCGGACGCCCCAGAGCGTCGCGATGCTCTCCCCGAACGCCCCGGAGCGTCGCGATGCTCTCTTCGGACGCCCCGGAGCGTCGCGATGCTCTCCCCGGACGCCCCAGAGCGTCGCGATGCTCTCCCCGGACGCCCGGGAGCGTCGCGATGCTCTTCCCGGACGCCCCGGAGCGTCGGTATGCTCTCCCTGGATGCCTCGGAGCGTCGCATGGCTCTCCCCGGACGCCCCAGAGCGTCGCAATGCTCTCCCCGGCCGCCCCAGAGCGTCGCGCTGCTCTCCACGGACGCCCCGGAGCGTCACGATGCTCTCCCCAGCCGCCCCGGAGCGTCGCGATGCTCTCCCTGGACGCCCCAGAGCGTCGCGATGCTCTCCCCAGCCGCACCGGAGCGTCGCGATGCTCTCCCCGAACGCCCCAGAGCGTCGCGATGCCCTCCCCGGATGCCCCAGAGCGTCGCGATGCTCTCCCCGGACGCCCCAGAGCGTCGCGATGCTCTCCCTGGCCGCCCCGGAGCGTCGCGATGCTCTCCCCAGCCGCCCCGAAGCGTCGCGATGCTCTCCCCGGACGTCCCGGAGCGTCGCGATGCTATCCCCAGCCGCCCCGGAGCATCGCGATGCACTCCCCCGATGCCCCAGAGCGTCGCGATGCTCTCCTTGGACTCCCGGGAGCGTCACGATGCTCTCCCCGGACGCCCCGGAGCGTCGCGATGCTCTCTTTGGCCGCCCCAGAGCGTCGCGATGCTCTCCCCGGACGCCCCGGAGCGTCGCGATGCTCTCCCCGGACGCCCTGAGCGTCGCGATGCTCTCCCCAGACGCCCCAGAGCGTTGCGATGCTCTCCACGGACGCCCCAGAGCGTCGCCATGCTCTCCCCGGACGCCACGGAGCGTCGCGATGCTTTCCCCGGACGCCCCGGAGCGTCGCGATGCTCTCCCCGGACGCCCCAGAGCGTCGCGATGCTCTCCCCGGACGCCCCAGAGCGTCGCGATGTTCTCCCCAGCCGCCCCGGAGCGTCGCGATGCTCTCCCTGGACGCCCCCGAGCGTTGCGATGCTCTCCCCGGACGCCCTAGAGCGTCGCGATGCTCTCCCCGGCCGCCCCGGAGCGTCGCGATGCTCTCCTCGGACGCCCCGGAGCGTCGTGATGCTCTCCCCGGACGCCCCGGAGCGTCGCGATGCTCTCCCCGGACGCCCCAGAGCGTCGCGATGCCCTCCCCGGACGCCCCAGAGCGTTGCGATGCTCTCCCCAGCCGCCCCGGAGCGTCGCGATGCCCTCCCCGGACGCCCCAGAGCGTCACGATCCTCTCCCCGAACGCCCCTGAGTGTTGCGATGCTCTCCCCTGCCGCCTTGGAGCGGCGCGATGCTCTCCCCAGCCGCCCCGGAGCGTCGCGATGCTCTCCCCGGATGCCCCTGAGCGTCGGAATGCTCTCCCCGGACGCCCCGGAGCGTCGCGATGCTCTCCCCGGACGCCCCGGAGCGTCGCGATGCTCTCTTGGGCCGCCCCAGAGCGTCGCGATGCTCTCCCCGGACGCCCCAGAGCGTCGCGGTGCTCTCCCCGGCCGCCCCGGAGCGTCGCGATGCTCTCCCTGGACGCCCCGGAGCGTCGCGATGCTCTCCCCGGACGCCCCGGAGCGTCGCGATGCTCTCCCCGCACGCCCCAGAGCGTCGCGATACCCTCCCCGGACGCCCCAGAGCGTTGCGATGCTCTCCCCAGCCGCCCCGGAGTGTCGCGATGCTCTCCCCGGACGCCCCAGAGCGTCGCGATGCTCTCCCCGGACGCCCCAGAGTGTTGCGATGCTCTCCCCGCCGCTGTGGAGCGTCGCGATGCTCTCCCCAGCCGCCCCGGAGCGTCGCGATGCTCTCCCCGGACGCCCCAGAGTGTCGCGATGCTCTCCCCGGACGCCCCGGAGCGTCGCGATGCTCTCCCCAGACGCCCCGGAGCATCGCGATGCTCTCTTGGGCTGCCCCAGAGCGTCGCGATGCTCTCCCCGGACGCCCCAGAGCGTCGCGATGCTCTTCCCGGCCGCCCCGGAGCGTCGCGATGCTCTCCCTGGACGCCCCGGAGCGTCGCGATGCTCTCCCCGGACGCCCCGAAGCGTCGCGATGCTCTCCCCGCACGCCCCAGAGCGTCGCGATGCCCTCCCCGGACGCCCCAGAGCGTTGCGATGCTCTCCCCAGCCGCCCCGGAGTGTCGCGATGCTCTCCCCGGACGCCCCAGAGCGTCGCGATGCTCTCCCCGGACGCCCCAGAGTGTTGCGATGCTCTTCCCGCCACCTTGGAGCGTCGCGATGCTCTCCCCGGACGCCCCAGAGCGTCGCGATGCCCTCCCCGGACGCCCCAGAGCGTCGCGATGCTCTCCCCGGAAGCCCCAGAGCATCGCGATGTTCTCCCCAGCCGCCCCGGAGCGTCGCGATGCTCTCCCCGGACGCCCCCGAGCATTGCGATGCTCTCCCAGGACGCCCCAGAGCGTCGCGATGCTCTCCCCGGCCGCCCTGGAGCGTCGCGATGCTCTCCCCGGACGCCCCGGAGCGTCGCGATGCTCTCCCCGGACGCCCCGAGCGTCGCGATGCTCTCCCCGGACGCCCCAGAGCGTCGCGATGCCCTCCCCGGACGCCCCAGAGCGTTGCGATGCTCTCCCCAGCCGCCCCGGAGCATCGCGATGCTCTCTCCGGACGCCCCAGAGCGTCGCGATGCTCTCCCCGGACGCCCCAGAGTGTTGCGATGCTCTCCCCGGCTGCTCCGGCGCGTCGCGATGCTCTCCCCAGCCGCCCCGGAGTGTCGCGATGCTCTCCCCGGACAAACAGAGCGTCGCGATGCTGTCCTCGGACGCCCCGGAGCGTCGCGATGCTCTCCCCCGGAGCGTCGCGATGCTCTCTTGGGCCGCCCCAGAGCGTCGCCATGCTCTCCCCGGACGCCACGGAGCGTCGCGATGCTTTCCCCGGACGCCCCGGAGCGTCGCGATGCTCTCCCCGGACGCCCCAGAGCGTCGAGATGTTCTCCCCAGCCGCCCCGGAGCGTCGCGATGCTCTCCCTGGACGCCCCCGAGCGTTGCGATGCTCTCCCCGGACGCCCTAGAGCGTCGCGATGCTCTCCCCGGCCGCCCCGGAGCGTCGCGATGCTCTCCTCGGACGCCCCGGAGCGTCGTGATGCTCTCCCCGGACGCCCCGGAGCGTCGCGATGCTCTCCCCGGACGCCCCGGAGCGTCGCGATTCCCTCCCCGGACGCCCCAGAGCGTCACGATCCTCTCCCCGAACGCCCCTGAGTGTTGCGATGCTCTCCCCTGCCGCCTTGGAGCGTCGCGATGCTCTCCCCAGCCGCCCCGGAGCGTTGCGATGCTCTCCCTGGACGCCCCTGAGCGTCGCAATGCTCTCCCCGGACGCCCCGGAGCGTCGCGATGCTCTCCCCGGACGCCCCGGAGCGTCGCGATGCTCTCTTGGGCCGCCCCAGAGCGTCGCGATGCTCTCCCCGAACGCCCCAGAGCGTCGCAGTGCTCTCCCTGGACGCCCCGGAGCGTCGCGATGCTCTCCCTGGACGCCCCGGAGCGTCGCGATGCTCTCCCCGGACGCCCAGGAGCGTCGCGATGCTCTCCCCGCACGCCCCAGAGCGTCGCGATACCCTCCCCGGACGCCCCAGAGCGTTGCGATGCTCTCCCCAGCCGCCCCGGAGTGTCGCGATGCTCTCCCCGGACGCCCCAGAGTGTCGCGATGCTCTCCCCGGACGCCCCAGAGTGTTGCGATGCTCTCCCCGCCGCCTTGGAGCGTCGCGATGCTCTCCCCAGCCGCCCCGGAGCGTCGCGATGCTCTCCCCGGACGCCCCAGAGCGTCGCGATGCTCTCCCCGGACGCCCCGGAGCGTCGCGATGCTCTCCCCGGACGCCCCGGAGCATCGCGATGCTCTCTTGGGCTGCCCCAGAGCGTCGCGATGCTCTCCCCGGACGCCCCAGAGCGTCGCGATGCTCTTCCCGGCCGCCCCGGAGCGTCGCGATGCTCTCCCTGGACGCCCCGGAGCGTCGCGATGCTCTCCCCGGACGCCCCGAAGCGTCGTGATGCTCTCCCCGCACGCCCCAGAGCGTCGCGATGCCCTCCCCGGACGCCCCAGAGCGTTGCGATGCTCTCCCCAGCCGCCCCGGAGTGTCGCGATGCTCTCCCCGGACGCCCCAGAGCGTCGCGATGCTCTCCCCGGACGCCCCAGAGTGTTGCGATGCTCTCCCCGCCACCTTGGAGCGTCGCGATGCTCTCCCCAGCCGCCCCGGAGCGTCGCGATGCTCTCCCCGGACGCCCCAGAGCGTCGCGATGCTCTCCCCGGACGCCCCGGAGCGTCGCGATGCTCTCCCCGGCCGCCCCGGAGCGTCGCGATGCTCTCTTGGGCCGCCCCAGAGCGTCGCGATGCTCTCCCCGGACGCCCCAGAGCTTCGCGATGCTCTCCCCTTACGCCCCAGAGCGTCGCGATGCTCTCCCCGGACGCCCCAGAGCGTCGCGTTGTTCTCCCCAGCCGCCCCGGAGCGTCGCGATGCTCTCCCCGGACGCCCCCGAGCATTGCGATGCTCTCCCAGGACGCCCCAGAGCGTCGCGATGCTCTCCCCGGCCGCCCTGGAGCGTCGCGATGCTCTCCCCGGACGCCCCGGAGCGTCGCGATGCTCTCCCCGGACGCCCCGAGCGTCGCGATGCTCTCCCCGGACGCCCCAGAGCGTCGCGATGCCCTCCCCGGACGCCCCAGAGCGTTGCGATGCTCTCCCCAGCCGCCCCGGAGCATCGCGATGCTCTCCCCGGACGCCCCAGAGCGTCGCGATGCTCTCCCCGGACGCCCCAGAGTGTTGCGATGCTCTCCTCGGCTGCCCCGGCGCGTCGCGATGCTCTCCCCAGGCGCCCCGGAGTGTCGCGATGCTCTCCCCGGACAAACAGAGCGTCGCGATGCTGTCCTCGGACGCCCCGGAGCGTCGCGATGCTCTCCCCGGACGCCCCGGAGCGTCGCGATGCTCTCTTGGGCCGCCCCAGAGCGTCGCGATGCTCTCCCCGGACGCCGCAGAGCGTCGGGATGCTCTCCCCGGACGCCCCAGAGCGTCGCGATGCTCTCTCCGGACGCCCCGGAGCGTCGCAATGCTAGCTCCGGACGCCCCAGAGCGTCGCGATGCTCTCCCGGGACGCTTCAGAGCATCGCGATGCTCTCCCCGGCCGCACCGGAGCGTCGCGATGCTCTCCCTGAACGCCCCAGAGCGTCGCGATGCTCTCCCCGGACGCCCCAGAGCGTCACAATGTTCTCCCCAGCCGCCCCGGAGTGTCGCGATGCTCACCCCGGACGCCCCAGAGGGTCGCGATGCTCTCCTCGGCCGCCCCGGAGCGTCGCGATGCTCTCCCCGGACGCCCCGGAGCGTCGCGATGCTTTTCCCAGCCGCCCCGAAGCGTCGCGATGCTCTCCCCGGACGCCCCAGAGCGTCGCGATGCTCTCCTCGGACGCCCCGGAGCGTCGCGATGCTCTCCCCGGACACCCCGGAGCGTTGCGATGCTCTCCCCGGACGCCCCAGAGCGTCGCGATGCTCTCCCCGTGTTGTGTGATGCAATCATTTGCATTCACGTCTGTCTGCCTCCCATCATATGTTCGTGCGTTGCCTGCGTGGTGTGAGCGTGTGCAAGAATTTGTGTTTTGTGCGGTTTGAATATTCTGAGTATGTGTGAATGTTATTTTGGCTTGAGCAGATATTTGAAGTGACTCCTCTGCTCAAGAGCTTTCCGACGAACCAAGTATCGCTTCAATCGGAGCCTGAACAAGAAAGTTACGAATGCTTTTCATATTCGATTGTGGTGACTATGGGAAGTTGTGGGGTTGACTCAATATGGGGTACAGACTTTTGGGGGTTGGGAAATTTGTCTTTTTTACTGTAGTTGCTGCCAAATGGTTGGGAGAAACCAAACCAGGTTGGCAAGTGTGGCCAAGTTGGGTTGAGGTGGATTGTGGAGGTTGGGATAGTGACAAAGGTCAAAGTTGGGTTGCCTATGGGGAAGGGAATTGTGTGGCATGGGGTTTCCTTGGTTGGGGACTCCTCGGGGACCTTCCCTCTTGTCCTTCTCTTCCCTCCCACCTGGTTTAGTGCTACTCCAAGCTCTCTTGTGTAGTAAGTGTGAACTTGTGTGAGACTATTGTGATCGAGTTAAGATTCTATGGCAGCATACCCCCTAGTGCGCCGAAATTGATAACTCAAGAAATACGTCACTTTTTTCGTACGATCCAAACATATCTGAGTTTGGTGAAGTTTTGACTGTGAACTTTTTGTCGACGGCGTTTCTTGTGAGCGCGACTTTTCTGTCTAGAATTCTAAGCCAACAATTTTGAGAATTTTAGGCACCTAATCTTCGTAGACTCCGTCCTTAGTCTCTAACACCCCGGACGCCCCAGAGCGTCGCGATGCTCTCCCCGGACGCCCCAGAGCGTTGCGATGCTCTCCCCGGACGCCCCAGAGCGTCGCGATGCTCTCCCCAGCCGCACCGGAGTGTTGCGAAGCTCTCCCCGAACGCCCCAGAGCGTCGCGATGCTCTCCCCGGACGCCCCAGAGCGTCGCGATGTTCTCCCCAGCCGCCCCGGAGCGTCGCGATGCTCTCCCCGGACGCCCCCGAGTGTGGCGATGCTCTCCCCGGACGCCCCAGAGCGTCGCGATGCTCTCCCCGGCCGCCCCGGAGCGTCACGATGCTCTCCCCGGACGCCCCGGAGCGTCGCGATGCTCTCCCCGGACGCCCCGGAGCGTCGCGATGCTTTCCCCGGACGCCCCAGAGCGTTGCGATGCTCTCCCCGGACGCCCCAGAGCGTCGTGATGCTCTCCCCAGCCGCACCGGAGTGTCGCGATGCTCTCCCCGAACGCCCCAGAGCGGCGCGATGCTCTCCCCGGACGCCCCAGAGCGTCGCGATGTTCTCCCCAGCCGCCCCGGAGCGTCGCGATGCTCTCCCCGGACGCCCCCGAGTGTTGCGATGCTCTCCCCGGACGCCCCAGAGCGTGGCGATGCTCTCCCCGGCCGCCCCGGAGCGTCGCGATGCTCTCCCCGGACGCTCCGGAGCGTCGCGATGCTCTCCCCGGACGCCCCGGAGTGTCGCGATGCTTTCCCCGGACGCCCCAGAGCGTCGCGATGCTCTCTCCGGACGCCCCAGAGCGTCGCGATGCTCTCCCCAGCCGCCCTTGAGCGTCGCGATGCTTTCCCCGGACGCCCCAGAGCGTCACGATGCTCTCTCCAGACGCCCCAGAACGTCGCGATGCTCTCTGCGGACGCCCCGGAGCGTCGCGATGCTAGCCCCGGACGCCCGAGAGCGTCGCGATCCTCTCCCTGGACGCTCCAGAGCATCGCGATGCTCTCCCTGGCCGCACCGGAGCGTCGCAATGCTCTCCCCGAACGCCCCAGAGTGTCGCGATGCTCTCCCCGGACGCCCCAGAGCGTCGCAATGTTCTCCCCAGCCGCCCCGGAGCGTCGCGATGCTCTCCTCGGACGCCCCCGAGCGGTGCGATGCTCTCCCCGGACGCACCAGAGGGTCGCGATGCTCTCCCCGGCCGCCCCGGAGCGTCGCGATGCTCTCCCCGGACGCCCCAGAGCGTCCCGATGCTCTCCCCGGACGCCCCCGAGCGTCGCGATGCTCTCCCCGGACGCCCCACAGCGTCGCGATGCTCTCCCCAGCCGCCCCAAAGCGTCGCGATGCTCTCCCTGGCCGCCCCGGAGCGTCGCGATGCTCTCCCCAGACGCCCCGGAGCGTCGCGATGCTGTGCCCAGCCGCCCCGGAGCGTCGCGATGCTCTCCCCGGACGCCCCATAGCGTCGCGATGCTCTCCCCGGACGCCCCGGAGCGTCGCGATGCTCTGTCCGGACGCCCCGGAGCGTCGCGATGCTCTCCCTGGACGCCCCAGAGCGTCGCGATGCTCTCCTCGGACGCCCCAGAGCATCGCGATGCTCTCCCTCGACGCCCCAGAGCGTTGCGATGCTCTCCCCGGACGCCCCAGAGCGTTGCGATGCTCTCCCCAGCCGCACCGGAGTGTCGCGATGCTCTCCCCAGACGCCCTAGAGCGTCGCGATGTTCTCCCCAGCCGCCCCAGAGCGTCGCGATGCTCTCCCCGAACGCCCCCGAGCGTTGCGATGTTCTCCCGCTTTCCATCACCCCGCCCCATTCTCCCGCTTTCCATCACCCCGCCCCATTCTCCCTCCTTCCATCACCCCGCCCCATTCTCCCGCCTTCCATCAACCCGCCCCATTCTCCCGCTTTCCATCACCCCACCCCATTCTCCCGCTTTCCATCACCCCGCCCCATTATCCCGCTTTCCATCACCCCGCCCCATTATCCCGCTTTCCATCACCCCGCCCCGTTCTCCCGCTTTCCATCACCCCGCCCCATTCTCCCGCTTTCCATCACCCCACCCCGTTCTCCCGCTTTCCATCACCCCGCCCCATTCTCCCGCTTTCCATCACCCCGCCCCATTCTCCCGCTTTCCATCACCCCGCTTCATTCTCCCGCTTTCCATCACCTCGCCCCATTCTCCCGCTTTCCATCACCCCGCCCCATTCTCCCTCCTTCCATCACCCCGCCCCATTCCCTCCTTCCATCACCCCGCCCCATTCTCCCGCTTTCCATCACCCCACTCCATTCTCCCTCCTTCCATCACCCCACCCTATTCTCCCTCCTTCCATCACCCCGCCCCATTCTCCCGCTTTCCATCACCCCGCCCCATTCTCCCTCCTTCCATCACCCCGCCCCATTCTCCCGCTTTCCATCACCCCGCCCCATTCTCCCGCTTTCCATCACCCCGCCCCATTCTCCCGCTTTCCATCACCCCGCCCCATTCTCCCGCTTTCCATCACCCCGCCCCATTCTCCCGCTTTCCATCACCCCGCCCCATTCTCCCGCTTTCCATCACCCCGCCCCATTCTCCCGCTTTCCATCAACCTGCCCTATTCTCCCGCTTTCAATCACCCCGCCCCGTTCTCCCGCTTTCCATCACCCCACCCCATTCTCCCGCTTTCCATCACCCCGCCCCATTCTCCCTCCTTCCATCACCCAGCCCCATTCTCCCTCCTTCCATCACCCCGCCCGATTCTCCCGCTTTCCATCACTCCGCCCCATTCTCCCGCTTTCCATCAACCCGCGCCATTCTCCCGCTTTCCATCACCCCGCCCCATTCTCCCGCTTTCCATCACCCCGCCCCATTCTCCCGCTTTCCATCACCCCACCCCATTCTCCCTCCTTCCATCACCCCGCCCCATTCTCCCTCCTTCCATCACCCCGCTTCATTCTCCCACTTTCCATCACCCCGCCCCATTCTCCCGCTTTCCATCAACCCGCCCCATTCTCCCGCTTTCCATCACCCCACCCCGTTCTCCCGCTTTCCATCACCTCGCCTCATTCTCCCGCTTTCCATCACCCCAAGGAGATGGAAGGAGGGAATGGGGCGGGGTGATGGAAGGAGGGAGAATGGGGCGGGGTGATGGAAAGCGGGAGAATGGGGCGAGGTGATGGAAAGCGGGAGAATGAAGCGGGGTGATGGAAAGCGGGAGAATGGGGCGGGGTGATGGAAAGCGGGAGAATGGGGCGGGGTGATGGAAAGCGGGAGAACGGGGTGGGGTGATGGAAAGCGGGAGAATGGGGCGGGGTGATGGAAAGCGGGAGAACGGGGCGGGGTGATGGAAAGCGGGATAATGGGGCGGGGTGATGGAAAGCGGGATAATGGGGCGGGGTGATGGAAAGCGGGAGAATGGGGTGGGGTGATGGAAAGCGGGAGAATGGGGCGGGTTGATGGAAGGCGGGAGAATGGGGCGGGGTGATGGAAGGAGGGAGAATGGGGCGGGGTGATGGAAAGCGGGAGAATGGGGCGGGGTGATGGAAAGCGGGAGAACATCGCAACGCTCGGGGGCGTTCGGGGAGAGCATCGCGACGCTCTGGGGCGGCTGGGGAGAACATCGCGACGCTCTAGGGCGTCTGGGGAGAGCATCGCGACACTCCGGTGCGGCTGGGGAGAGCATCGCAACGCTCTGGGGCGTCCGGGGAGAGCATCGCAACGCTCTGGGGCGTCGAGGGAGAGCATCGCGATGCTCTGGGGCGTCCGAGGAGAGCATCGCGACGCTCTGGGGCGTCCAGGGAGAGCATCGCGACGCTCCGGGGCGTCCGGACAGAGCATCGCGACGCTCCGGGGCGTCCGGGGAGAGCATCGCGACGCTATGGGGCGTCCGGGGAGAGCATCGCGACGCTCCGGGGCGGCTGGGCAGAGCATCGCGACGCTCCGGGGCGTCTGGGGAGAGCATCGCGACGCTCCGGGGCGGCCAGGGAGAGCATCGCGACGCTTTGGGGCGGCTGGGGAGAGCATCGCGACGCTGTGGGGCGTCCGGGGAGAGCATCGCGACGCTCGGGGGCGTCCGGGGAGAGCATCGGGACGCTCTGGGGCGTCCGGGGAGAGCATCGCGACGCTCCGGGGCGGCCGGGGAGAGCATCGCGACCCTCTGGTGCGTCCGGGGAGAGCATCGCACCGCTCGGGGGCGTCCGGGGAGAGCATCGCGACGCTCCGGGGCGGCTGGGGAGAACATTGCGACGCTCTGGGGCGTCCGGGGAGAGCATCGCGACACTCTGGGGCGTTCGGGGAGAGCATTGCGACGCTCCGGTGCGGCCAGGGAGAGCATCGCGATGCTCTGGAGCGTCCAGGGAGAGGATCGCGACGCTCTCGGGCGTCCGGGGCTAGCATCGCGACGCTCCGGGGCGTCCGCAGAGAGCATCGCGACGTTCTGGGGCGTCTGGAGAGAGCATCGTGACGCTCTGGGGCGTCCGGGGAAAGCATCGCGACGCTCAAGGGCGGCTGGGGAGAGCATCGCGACGCTCTGGGGCGTCCGGAGAGAGCATCGCGACGCTCTGGGGCGTCCGGGGAAAGCATCGCGACACTCCGGGGCGTCCGGGGAGAGCATCGCGACGCTCCGGAGCGTCCGGGGAGAGCATCGCGACGCTCCGGGGCGGCCGGGGAGAGCATCGCCACGCTCTGGGGCGTCCGGGGAGAGCATCGCAACACTCGGGGGCGTCCGGGGAGAGCATCGCGACGCTCCGGGGCGGCTGGGGAGAACATCGCGACGCTCTGGGGCGTCCGGGGAGAGCATCGCGCCGCTCTGGGGCGTTCGGGGAGAGCATCGCGACACTCCGGTGCGGCTGGGGAGAGCATCACGACGCTCTGGGGCGTCCGGGGAGAGCATCGCAACGCTCTGGGGCGTCCGGGGAAAGCATCGCGACGCTCCGGGGCGTCCGGGGAGAGCATCGCGACGCTCCGGGGCGTCCGGGGAGAGCATCGTGACGCTCCGGGGCGGCCGGGGAGAGCATCGCGACGCTCTGGGGCGTCCGGGGAGAGCATCGCCACACTCGGGGGCGTCCGGGGAGAGCATCGCGACGCTCCGGGGCGGCTGGGGAGAACATCGCGACGCTCTGGGGCGTCCGGGGAGAGCATCGCGACGCTCTGGGGCGTTCGGGGAGAGCTTCGCAACACTCCGGTGCGGCTGGGGAGAGCATCGCGACGCTCTGGGGCGTCCGGGGAGAGCATCGCAACGCTCTGGGGCGTCCGGGGAGAGCATCGCGACGCTCTGGGGCGTCCGGGGTGTTAGAGACTAAGGACGGAGTCTACGAAGATTAGGTGCCTAAAATTCTCAAAATTGTTGGCTTAGAATTCTAGACAGAAAAGTCGCGCTCACAAGAAACGCCGTCGACAAAAAGTTCACAGTCAAAACTTCACCAAACTCAGATATGTTTGGATCGTACGAAAAAAGTGACGTATTTCTTGAGTTATCAATTTCGGCGCACTAGGGGGTATGCTGCCATAGAATCTTAACTCGATCACAATAGTCTCACACAAGTTCACACTTACTACACAAGAGAGCTTGGAGTAGCACTAAACCAGGTGGGAGGGAAGAGAAGGACAAGAGGGAAGGTCCCCGAGGAGTCCCCAACCAAGGAAACCCCATGCCACACAATTCCCTTCCCCATAGGCAACCCAACTTTGACCTTTGTCACTATCCCAACCTCCACAATCCACCTCAACCCAACTTGGCCACACTTGCCAACCTGGTTTGGTTTCTCCCAACCATTTGGCAGCAACTACAGTAAAAAAGACAAATTTCCCAACCCCCAAAAGTCTGTACCCCATATTGAGTCAACCCCACAACTTCCCATAGTCACCACAATCGAATATGAAAAGCATTCGTAACTTTCTTGTTCAGGCTCCGATTGAAGCGATACTTGGTTCGTCGGAAAGCTCTTGAGCAGAGGAGTCACTTCAAATATCTGCTCAAGCCAAAATAACATTCACACATACTCAGAATATTCAAACCGCACAAAACACAAATTCTTGCACACGCTCACACCACGCAGGCAACGCACGAACATATGATGGGAGGCAGACAGACGTGAATGCAAATGATTGCATCACACAACACGGGGAGAGCATCGCGACGCTCTGGGGCGTCCGGGGAGAGCATCGCAACGCTCCGGGGTGTCCGGGGAGAGCATCGCGACGCTCCGGGGCGTCCGAGGAGAGCATCGCGACGCTCTGGGGCGTCCGGGGAGAGCATCGCGACGCTTCGGGGCGGCTGGGAAAAGCATCGCGACGCTCCGGGGCGTCCGGGGAGAGCATCGCGACGCTCCGGGGCGGCCGAGGAGAGCATCGCGACCCTCTGGGGCGTCCGGGGTGAGCATCGCGACACTCCGGGGCGGCTGGGGAGAACATTGTGACGCTCTGGGGCGTCCGGGGAGAGCATCGCGACGCTCTGGGGCGTTCAGGGAGAGCATCGCGACGCTCCGGTGCGGCCGGGGAGAGCATCGCGATGCTCTGAAGCGTCCCGGGAGAGCATCGCGACGCTCTGGGGCGTCCGGAGCTAGCATTGCGACGCTCCGGGGCGTCCGGAGAGAGCATCGCGACGCTCTGGGGCGTCCGGGGAGAGCATCCCGACGCTCTGCGGCGTCCGGGGAGAGCATCGCGACGCTCTGGGGCGGCCCAAGAGAGCATCGCGACGCTCCGGGGCGTCCGGGGAGAGCATCGCGACGCTCCGGGGCGTCCGAGGACAGCATCGCGACGCTCTGTTTGTCCGGGGAGAGCATCGCGACACTCCGGGGCGCCTGGGGAGAGCATCGCGACGCGCCGGGGCAGCCGAGGAGAGCATCGCAACACTCTGGGGCGTCCGGGGAGAGCATCGCGACGCTCTGGGGCGTCCGGGGAGAGCATCGCGATGCTCCGGGGCGGCTGGGGAGAGCATCGCAACGCTCTGGGGCGTCCGGGGAGGGCATCGCGACGCTCTGGGGCGTCCGGGGAGAGCATCGCGACGCTCGGGGCGTCCGGGGAGAGCATCGCGACGCTCCGGGGCGTCCGGGGAGAGCATCGCGACGCTCCAGGGCGGCCGGGGAGAGCATCGCGACGCTCTGGGGCGTCCTGGGAGAGCATCGCAATGCTCGGGGGCGTCCGGGGAGAGCATCGCGACGCTCCGGGGCGGCTGGGGAGAACAACGCGACGCTCTGGGGCGTCCGGGGAGAGCATCGCGACGCTCTGGGGCGTAAGGGGAGAGCATCGCGAAGCTCTGGGGCGTCCGGGGAGAGCATCGCGACGCTCTGGGGCGGCCCAAGAGAGCATCGCGACGCTCCGGGGCGGCCGGGGAGAGCATCGCGACGCTCCGGGGCGTCCGGGGAGAGCATCGCGACGCTCTGGGGCGTCCGGGGAGAGCATCGCGACGCTCCGGGGCGGCTGGGGAGAGCATCGCGACGCTCCAAGGTGGCGGGGAGAGCATCGCAACACTCTGGGGCGTCCGGGGAGAGCATCGCGACGCTCTGGGGCGTCCGGGGAGAGCATCGCGACACTCCGGGGCGGCTGGGGAGAGCATCGCAACGCTCTGGGGCGTCCGGGGAGGGCATCGCGACGCTCTGGGGCGTGCGGGGAGAGCATCACGACGCTTCGGGGCGTCCGGGGAGAGCATCGCGACGCTCCGGGGCGTCCAGGGAGAGCATCGCGACGCTCCGGGGCGGCCGGGAAGAGCATCGCGACGCTCTGGGGCGTCCGGGGAGAGCATCGCGACGCTCTGGGGCAGCCCAAGAGAGCATCGCGATGCTCCGGGGCGTCCGGGGAGAGCATCGCGACGCTCCGGGGCGTCCGGGGAGAGCATCGCGACGCTCTGGGGCGTCCGGGGAGAGCATCGCGACGCTCCGGGGCGGCTGGGGAGAGCATCGCGACGCTCCAAGGCGGCGGGGAGAGCATCGCAACACTCTGGGGCGTCCGGGGAGAGCATCGCGACACTCTGGGGCGTCCGGGGAGAGCATCGCGACACTCCGGGGCGGCTGGGGAGAGCATCGCAACGCTCTGGGGCGTCCGGGGAGGGTATCGCGACGCTCTGGGGCGTGCGGGGAGAGCATCGCGACGCTCCTGGGCGTCCGGGGAGAGCATCGCGACGC